TGTGATCTGAGTAATGATCAATAATCTATCTAACTCATATGTTCCAAAGATTTGCAAGTCACGCTCACCTGATGGGCTTCTGGAAGCAAATTGAGCCAGCTACCCTCGATATGATACGGGTGACAAGAGCATCAAGTGTAGCGAAGACTGATCAGGTCCCTCACTCTGCCAGTGCAACGGTAAATGTTTTATTGTTGTTGTCCTTACAAAGCTTGTCATCATTTTCAAATTAAGCCATGTATCAAATACATTTTGATAGTCATAATGTAAGGTAATACCCAGGACACGCTGGAGAGACTCTCTCGGCCGGCCTGGGAACGTCTGGGCCTCTCTGCTTAAGTTGCTGCCCCTGCTACCTGACCCCAGATAAGAGGCTGAAAATGGATGGATGGTAATAATGTTTTTCATCTTTTCCAGGTTCTTCAACCAGTTGATGAGTTCTTCCTGTTTATGATCTACCTGTCACTGGGACTCACACAAAAGGATTGTTACCACCTGGGCCAACTTCCTTTATACTGTGTTAGGAGCTGTGGATATCTGGTTAGATGAAGACACTGTGAAAGCTCACCTCCCAGATGTGTTCCAGGATTACGCTGACACTCGGGTAATTTTAGATTGCACAGAACTGTGTTGCCAAACCCCAAACTTCCTCCTCCTCCAGAGCGAGGTGTTTTCAAACTATAAATCACACTGTACATTCAAAGGGTTGATTGGGATAGCCCCTCATGGTGCAGTGACATTTGTGTCTTCTCTTTATCAAGGTGCCACCAGTGATAAAGAGATCTTAAAGCAGTCAGGCATTGTGGTCCTCCTGTACCCATCAATGGCTATCATGGTGGACAAGAGTTTCCTTGTTGAAGACTGTGTTCCATGCAAAGTCCACATACCCACGTTTCTGTCGCAGAGAGCTCAACTGTCTAGGCCAGAGGTCAGAAAGACACAGTCCATTGCGAGACTGAGAGTCCATGTTGAGCGTGTGATTCGCAGGGTTAAAGAACACAAAATATTCAGCACCGTGATCCCCCTTTCAATCACAGGCAACATTAACCAACTCGGGGTTGTCGCCTGTCTTTTGGTGAATTATGAAAACAGTCCCTTGGTGAAAACCTGGGCAAGCAGTTGTTGAGCTCAATCCAGAATCAGACAGATAACATAATGTGAATGCATATAATTCTCATTTGTGTAGTGAGTGACCTGCAAAATATTTTCTCTAACCTTACAAGAATCCCTTTAAGTCATAACTTGCACTGTAAATATAGGATGTGATGTTAAGGTACAGTGTGATTAATTCATTAAATAAGTTTGTTTTGTTTTTGTAATGCATTTCTTTTTTCATTCAGTAAGATAAACGTACTTTCAGAGACGTTATACCTGCCGACAGTTTCAACTGCATTTATTTCAGTCTTCCTCAGAGCGTCAACCGACTTCTTGCTCGGACTCTGAAACCCTCTCCCCCTGAGCCTGAGATCAGCGGACTCAGTGAACTCCTTTAAAAAGCAGCTGAAAACTCACCTGTTCCAGCTGGTTTTGGTGTGATCTTCATCACCCTCTCCTTGTTCTGCTCTCCCTACCTATTCCACCTTCCTCAAGATCCACTGATTTCCCTCTTTCCTTTTCACTTTCTCTCTTTCTTTACATTTTTAATCACAATTGTCTATTTTTTGCTCATTTAAAATATATTTTTAATCAGTTTCTAAATTCTTTTTTATATTTTTTGGTTTTGTGAACCGCCTCGTGATTTTTATCTTGAGGCACTATAGAAAAGAACTTTTCTTCTTCCTCCTCTTCTACAGCCTTCACCCTGCTTACAAAAGAGCTTTCAGCAGCACTTCTGCTGAGGGAGGGGCATTGTTGCACATTGAAAATATGCAAAGAAAACTCTCTCATCTCGCTCTCTCCATCTTTCTCTCTCTCACATAGAGGAGGTACTTTAACCACAGCAAACCTCACCATCCTCTTCTAATTTTTTTCTGCATCATACAGCACAGTTAGTCCAAGCATCATTAATCACAATGAGAGGGAGCGTCTAGCTTAATGAACAGATTTATACTGGGGCATCTATGGACACTTAATTTGCCATTTAAATCCCACCTGTCTGTGTCAACTGGTCCATAGAGAGGTGCATAAATACAGTCGTAGCTGTTCCAGGGGTTGGGCTGGATCCATCCCTTCATGCGTTACAACAGCCAGGCAGGAGGGAGTGTGCTAAAGAGTCCAGTCTGCAACTGCAATTATAAATAACATGTTGGCTTTTTCTTGTGCGGAATAACTTTCAGTACACGGTTCTGTAATGTGGCGCAGCCTTTTTTGGTTGTTTTGATAAAAGAAAAGCAACAATCTATCTAAAGTAAAATTAGAATATAAATTTATATGGATTCAGTTAGAAACATTGTTTCATCATGAAAGTTTTTATAAATAATGTTTTCATTTTTTTATAAAAAAAAATTTTTTTTTGCATTACTTGGTCAACTTTACAATATAATTGAACTCTTTCTACTGAGTATAACTTGAACAATGTTAGCTAAAATGCAGGACTGGTACCAAATATAAATCTAATCCAGAGGTTTACATATTTTATCCTTTTAATCTTTAATTGTGTGTTATTTATTGTTATTTTGATTAGAATTTATTTATTAATTGCATATGACTTTTTTTTACAATTGCCACATTTATTTTGTCACTGCAAATGTATAAAACAAAAATTTGTTGCTCCATCATAAATAATTGGGCAGTGTTTATTAGTCCTACATTACAAGAGGCATTCATGAGGAAATTTTAACACTTCTCAAACATTCTGTTAATTATTTGGAGTCAAATATTTAGTGGAAGATATTTTTTTACATTTGTCAGTTTTTGTGGGTTTCTTCTTGCATTCCTTCTCAGCTGTCTTTGTTTAAAACATGTGATTCAACTCTGTTTTTTTGTTTTTAAATTATAAATGAGATGAGGAAGCATTGTTAACAAACTGAAACTTAAAATCTTTGCTACATTGGTTTCTTGAAAGGAATTGCAAAGAAAAGTTTCAAAAGTTCCAAAATGAAAAAAAAAACCCAATTCACTAAGGTTTAGATGTAAAAATCAGCAGTAAAAAACATTTAATACATTTTTTTCCAGATAATGTGCTTTAACCTTAAGCTGTATTTATTTGTTTTATGAAGCTGCTGAAATTTTTTAAAAGTCGACAAGGAACTTTAAAAAATAATATCATTTTATCTATCGTAGAGCCAAAAGCTCTCCTTCCTGACAGACTGAAAGACTTCCTTTGCCGATATATTTCAGTAACTCATCTTTTTAAAGATTTACATTGAAGTTTATGTTTTTGGGCACATCTCACACAATCTTGACCTCAAAGAATTACGTGCTCATTAAACACCATGGATATGAAATAAACAATTTACCCAAAAAGCACACATTTGGTTCCTTCCCATAAAGCAAAGTGCTTTAGTTGATTTGTTTGGTCCAGAGTTCATTTCAAGTGTGCTATTTGCATTTGGAGTCTGTTGCTGTCAACTGTCAAGATGAGATCCAAAGAGCTGTCACTATCAGTGAAGCAAGCCATCATTAGGCTGAAAAAACAAAAGAAACCTATCAGAGAGATAGCAAAAACATTAGGCGTGGCCAAAGCAACAGTTTGTAACATTCTCAAAAAGAAGGAACGCACCGGTGAGCTCAGCAACACCAAAAGACCCGGAAGACCACGGAAAACAACTGTGGTGGATGACCGAAGAATCCTTTCCCTGGTGAAGAAAACACCCTTCACAACAGTTGGCCAGATCAAGAACACTCTCCAGGAGGTAGGTGTATCTGTGTCAAAGTCAACAATCAAGAGAAGACTCCACTAGTGTGAATACAGAGGGTTCACCACAAGATGTAAACCATTGGTGAGCCCCAAAAACAGGAAGGCCAGATTAGAGTTTGCCAAACAACATCTAAAAAAGCCTTCACAGTTCTGGAACAACATCCTACGGACAGATGAGACCAAGATCAACTTGTACCAGAGTGATGGGAAGAGAAGAGTATGGAGACGGAAAGGAACTGCTCATGATCCTGAGCATACCACCTCATCAGTGAAGCATGGTGCTGGAAGTGTCATGGCGTGGGCATGTATGGCTGCCAGTGGAACTGGTTCTCTTGTATTTATTGATGATGTGACTGCTGACAAAAGCAGCACGATGAATTCAGAAGTGTTTCAGGCAATATTGTCTGCTCATATTCAGCCAAATGCCTCAGAACTCATTGGACGGCGCTTCACAGTGCAGATGGACAATGACCTAAAGCATACTGCAAAAGCAACCAAAGAGTTGTTGAAGGGAAAGAAGTGGACTGTTTTGCAATGGCCAAGTCAGTCACCTGACCTGAATCCGATTGAGCATGCATTTCACTTGCTGAAGACAAAACTGAAGGGAAAAGGCCCCAGGAACAATCAGGGACTGAAGACTGTTGCAGTAGAGGCCTGGCAGAGCATCACCAGGGATGAAACCCAACGTCTGGTGATGTCTATGTGTTCCAGACTTCAGGCTGTAATTGACTGCAAAGGATTTGCAACCAAGTATTGAAATGTATAAGTTTGATTTATGGTTCTTATTCTGTCCCATTACTTTTGGTCCCTTAACAAGTGGGAGGCACATATACAAACTGTTGTAATTCCTACACCATTCACCTGATTTGGATGTAAATACCCTGAAATAAAAGCTGACAGTCTGCAGTTGAACCACATCTTGTTCGTTTCATTTGATATCCGTTGTGGTGGTGTATAGAGCCAAAAATGTTAGCATTGTGTCGATGTCCCAATATTTATGGACCTGACTGTATCCACATTCCACACTTTGCTTGTGTTTATTTTTTGGACCCTCTTGCTGCTCCTGTCTGTTGATTATTTAGCACCTCAGTTTGCAGCACGACTAATTGGAGTGAGACAGGTGGAGTCGCTCTCTAACAATCCGTCTTGTTTGTGGAGGGTCACTCTGCAGCTCACTCCAATCTTGTTTTTGTTTTTGCAGGTCGAGTACCGGAAGGAGGGCATGAACTTTTGACTTGCTCCCATATGGAGCTGCTTCCCAGTTGGCCAGTCTTCCCTCGAAGTTCTTAGTGTCTGACTGAATGAGTTCAGTAAGTCAAACCACTTTCCTCAGTAAAATAAGATGAAACTAAAAGTATGTTTCTTTTTTTTTGTGCACGTTCACAGAGGACATTGCACATCTCAACTCATTACCCAGTTATTTCCCTTTTCTACATGTATTTGAATAGGTATTATCAGCATGCAGCCAAGCATGAACACTTGCTTGTAAGTTTCTGTGGTGATTTTCTGCTTCAAGTGTGTGTGTGTGTGTGTGTGTGTGTGTGTGTGTGTGTGTGTGTGTGTGTGTGTGTGTGTGTGTGTGTGTGTGTGTGTGTGTGTGTGTGTGTGTGTGTGTGTGTGTGTGTGTGTTGTGTCTCAGCTGTGGTCACACACATTTTGGTGTAATGTAATCAGGCAGGTGTGAAGGTCACAGCTAGTTTGTCTTGACCCCCTCTGTCTGCTTTGTCTAACGGTCAGGACAAACCTCCATCATTAGACTCCTTTGGTTTTCAGCGTCCCCCAAACAGTCCAGCAGACAGAATGAAAACAAAAAATAAATAACTAATTCTTCTCCTGCTTTTTAGTTTTATTAAAATCCTGCTTCTTTACCCTCCTTTTGTCGCTCATTTCCTGATTATGTTTGACTGAATGGTAAAGCCTTTGAGTCTAAATTAAGGGATTCAATTTAGGACATAAAAATGTAGACAAATTTCTGCTCAAATGTTTAAATGATCTGGTATGTCAATATTTAAAGGTGCATTTTGGCCATTGCAGGTAAAAAAATCTGTGTTTTTCCATCTAAATGTTGCCTTTCTTTAGTGCTTTTTTGCAGCATGAGAACACACTCTTATACGATACCTGAAATATTGCAGCCTTCAGTACTGACTGATACCGATATCAATCTGATACAATATCTGCACAAATCATACATACTTTTACCTATTTCGTAGGTTGGAATGTGTGAAAGGCTTGATCGAGTGATATTACTCAATCGGAGAACAAGAGCCGATAACAGTAAGTATGAAAACATTTTTCTTAACTATTGGTTGCAAAAATGTGAACCTTAACGGACTGCTCATATCAGAGATTTTTGATGCCATCCGATGTAATCTGTTACACTGTTTTTGGGCCAATATCGAAACGGGACATCCCTAATTTTCATGTTCAGCCTGCGTTAAAAGCTCAGAGTTACTGTTTATAATCAGATTAAATAAAAACAGTTAACTAAAACGAAAATGTGTTTTTTCACTGAGGTTGACCTTTTAAACAAATCTCTTGTGTGATCTTTGTGAGTGTAGAGTGTCTTTAGGTAAGACTCGGTGCATCCCAAGTATTACTTCCTGAAAGTTTCATTCAAGTCCAGTTAGTGGTTCATGAAATCTGCCGCTGTTAGACACAAGCATAAACATCATCACCCCGCTGGCTCTTTAGTGTCAGCTGATAATTGGGACATGGATGCCTTCTTTGGGTTTGGTTGACTTGGTTTATGTGAATCCCAAACGTTCTGACATTTACAGCCTGGCATAAATTTCCTCCTGTATAATTGTTGCCTTCACACGATGCGTCATTATGCATGCCCGAAGTTTATAAACTCTAGTTCATACAGGATTTCTTATCTGTAACACACACACGCACACACACACACACACACGCACACACACGCACACAAAAAGCTGAGGTTAAAAGCATTGCCATGTTTCCATCAGACAGATCAGATACTAAAACAAACTAAATCAAATCTATACAGGCTGAAAGAGGCACTTAATATTCAGTTTGAAACTCCAGATGAGCGGGTAATATAACATAAAGCTTCTAGAAGTTGTCTTAAAAACATCAATACTGGCAAAGAAAAAGATTTAGTAGAAGTGATCATCTTTCTGTGCTATTGAATATCCCGTCATAACACGGTGAAGGCCGAGACAGCGAGGCAGACCGAGGGAGAAACTGAGACCGCGTGAAGAAGGAGAGAAGAGAAGCACTGAGAATCTCACTGTGACGGCCTTTTCACGCATTATGAACGGTGTTTTTCTTCCCGCTCAGCATTCTGGGACTTCAGAGCATCAATCTCAGCAGAGCGATGTGGCTGTTATCATTGTGGGAAAACCTAAATATTCATCAGGATCCTTCTCTTCTAGTTTGGGTTTGACTGGTTTCTGATCTGGTCGTTCTCTTCGACATGTGTTACATCTGATTCCACAAATTTTTTCTAAAACACAGAAAACAGATCCTTTGTCAGATCTATTATAGCAGTTAATGCAAAAGCTCTTTTATAGACTCAGTTTTTTGTTACCCTTTCGGATAAGTGGAAGAGAATGGATTGATGGAAAATGCCCCTTTTCAGTGTTTTGGGACAGTTGTCAGTGTGTTACATATACATATACACACGAAAATACACATTTGTTTTTATGTTAGTAAAGAAATGACAAGTTTTTTTTGTGTATTTCTAAAAAAAACTTTCCATAATTTTTTTTATTATTATTTGTATTTTAATTTCTTTCACAATTGTTCTCCAAGCAAGTTTTTTCCCCTATGATTTTTTTATTTATTCTTACTTTATTTGTTTCAGAATATTTCTTCAGATGTTTTTATGCTGAATTGTTTCTGAATTTCTTTTATTTCCTTCTCATTTCTGACATTAATTAAACTTGATTTGCATATACTTTCACATTATATTGTGAGGTTGTTTAAAATTGCAGAATATTTGTTATTCTTTTGATCTCCATATAACCTGGTTGTTTTTTGTTGTTGTTGTTGTTTTAAACTGAAAATTTTACAAATTCTCATTGATCAGTTTTCACCAACCCACTTTTCTCTCCTAAAGACAGAAATTGTTGTAGACTTCTTTAATTGTGGTGTAACCTGTTGTAGTATTTTTTGATACCCCGGTAAAAACAGAAAACTAAGAAAGTCATGAAGATGATGACCGTTTGAAGCAGACAGCTGCTCAGCCGCAGTGATAAACTGCTTTCCAGGACTCTGATGGGAGTTTTAACTCAGCTGCTGAAAATCCTCCAGATTTCACAGAACATTGAGTCAGTTAAACTTTGTTCCTGATACGCATTCTTTCTTTACTTTGGGTAATTCCATCATCCGTGTTCTGCTACGGGTTGCTGCTTCGCAGGTTGGTGGTGACTTTTCTCAGTCATCCAGTCCATTCCTCTTGCTGTGAAATGAGTAGTGGGTTAGCTACTATAAAGTCTATTCTGAAATGAAATATTGCAGTCATTTCCACGGTGCATTGAAATGTTGGTGCTAGCATTAATGCAGCATCTCTATTTCAGAGGCAGATGTTTGCTTTATGAAATGGAGAGAGATTACTCCAAACAAGCGGTGTGTGTATTAACTGATCTCTTACTGTTGGAGGGCAGAAAGTGGAGGGCACCAAATCTACAAAACAAACTGAACCTGACCTCAGAGCTAAACGACTCCCCACAGATCTCCACGTGTTCCCCCTCAGACGCACAGAGCCAAAGTAATTCATCTTCTACTGAACCAAGAGGTCAGTGCTGGACCAGAAAATGTATCTTACCCTTTTTACCCTTTTTTATGTGAATACAGAAGAAAAAAATTATTTTCATCCCATGTGAGAAGTTGTCTGTCAGACTCAAGAAAACCAAAAAATTCCTGTCACTAACGGAAGAAAGCTGTAGCTTTTGTTTTTATTTTCTCTTTTTGTCTTTACTTCAGCATGTCTTCAGAAGGTGCTGGAGCTTTTAACCTCATAGGTGGGAGAATGGGGACTAAAGAGAGGGTTGTCACCTATTGTACAAAGTTAGCTGAAACCATCTGTCCATTAAGAAACATTTCTCACTCTCAAAGCAAATGTTCTTCTCTATCTAAAATTCTGTTCTATTTTATCTAAAAAATTTCATAGACTCACTCATTTTGGCTCTTGATGGGGAAGGTTGTAGGTTTTTTTTTTTGTGTCCAGGAAACAGCAGAGAATGTCTCAGCTAGTAAAAGCTAACCATTAGCAGTAGCAACTCCACAACACATTAGAACTCCTTCAGGTTTGTGTTATTTGTGTAGATGGACTCTATACAGCAGGGGTGTCAAACTCAAACTCACACGGGGCCGAAATGAAACTCTGGGACGGAGTCGAGGGCCTAACTTAATATTTTATGAAAAAGTGACGGCAAATTTGCACATTTTCTTTATCAACATTTATGCAATTATGAACCTTTCAATTTGGAAACAAACTTATTTCTGCATTAACACTGAATGTGGAATAACCAAATTACACACAAACAAGTCAGTTTTAAATAAAAGGCATCAGTGGTATTCATTACTTGTGGTATAATCAGCATTTTTAAAATCTATTCAGGATTTATGTTTTCTTGTTTATTCATTTTTCTTATTTTTATTCTCCTTTTTTCCTCCTGTAATAAGAGTCATCGCTGCTGTGACGTCTAGCTTTCCCCACTGAGGAACAATAAAGGGATTTTCTATTCTATTCATCTATCTGCAGCCTTTCCACTTCCTGTTTACTGTAGGTTAAATCTTTTCTCACAGGCCAACAACAAAATAAAAATATAATTTTATCTTAAATGAAAATGCAACATCTCACCTGTTAACTTTCATGTTTTGGAGCAGAAAAAGAGCATAAAACCAAAATATTTAAAGCTCAGTTTGCTCCACTGGTTTACTGTGATGCTCACCTGTTCCAGCCAGATACCTGCATCATGGGGTTGATCTGAGCTGAGGAGGAGACTCCTGTTGTTTTGTTCATCTTCATCGTAATAACGACAACATTAGATGACAACAGGTGCTCACATAGGTTTGTGCTGATGAACATGTCTGAGCAGCTTGACCACGTTGTTGTGTGTCGGGGAGGAAAAACAATGACTGCAACCACAGAGTCATGCTGGTTTGAGCGTGTCGCTGTTCGCTGGAGTTATATCAGCTCTGTCTGGACGTTAGTTGGAAAACTTTCTCTTTCAGTCGTGAACACATTACTGAGCGGCTAGAATCTCCGTTTCTGGGCTTCAACGTCAGAAAACAGCTGAGTGAACTCGGCGCTGAGTGAGAGGAGCGTTTAATTTGTCCGAGACAGCGGAGCTGCAGACCCAACTACCCCTGACTGCCTCGGCGCTGGAAAAAACACAAAGGAGGGGGCGCGTCGGCTCTGCGCTGACGCTGCAAAGCATCATGGGAGTTGAAGTCTTTGCGGTAAAATCGGCCAGCGGGCCAGTTTTAATATATTTTTTTATGTTTATCTCACGGGCCACATAAAAATGCTCCGCGGGCCGCATCTGGCCCGCGGGCCTTGAGTCTGACATATGTGCTATAGAGTCAGTGGTAGAGTCACTTTGCTGTTATCCAGTCAAAAGCGAGATGACTGAATACCAGGAATTAAGACTCAAAATCTGTTGTCTGAAGCTCAGCTTTAATGTGGCTAAATTCTAGTTCCTGAAGCAGGTGCACCGGAGCTTTGTTTCCCCAGAGCAGGGGTGTCAAACTCAAATTTGGCAGTTTATACAGATGTGTTTTTGAACCTTTTCGTTTGGAAAAAAATAATTTTTGCATAAACACTGAATCTGGTATGACCAAATTACACACAAGCAAGTAAATTTGAAAGATTAAGTCACCCCCTACCAGAGTATTACACCACTCCCAGTTCCTGTTTGAAAAATGCAACAAATGCAGTTGCAAAGGGATTTCCTAAGTGTGGTGCATGCACCCCTGGAGGTGCGAGAGCTGCCGCTAGGGCAGGGGTTGGCAACCTGTTCCCATCAAAGAGCCATTATTACCCATTTCCCACAGTAAAGAAAACACTGGGAGCCACAGCAGCCGCGGCGTTGTGGGCGGGGCCTACCCTCAGACAGCAGAGAGCTGCTCACAACAGGTGACAGCAACCAGTACCGGTCGCTTGTGTACGTCAAAGTTATCTTTCATAAGACGATAATCAATAAAACGATTTATATAAAGTGGATCCAGAAGTTGTAGCCCGTCTCTGCCTACAATATTTTGATATTTTTCACCCTGTTGGTGGTTTTACTGAGCAGGTGCCACTT